GATCACCAAATATGCTGATGATATTTCTGTTGATTATCATCTCAAAAGTCAGACCTATCTCCAGGTTCTGAAAAATTGCCTTGATAACGTCTTAGCATGGGCGTTAGCCGATTCTGTTCTACTGAATAATCAGAAGTTAGTCTTGTGCTTTTTCCGATTGCGACCCTTTCCCAGTCCTTAATCCTCACAACTCTTGCCCGATGAGGTATGCACTTTCAAGTACCTTGGGGTTACTTCATTTCATCTTTATATTAAAACCTCCTTCATTACATTTCGCACACTTCTAGATTATATACGTCGGTTACGTTCATATAACACACACCTCAGGCCATAATCTGGTGATGTATTAAGGCTTACATTCTGCTCCTCATTTTTTACTGCTCTCCCATTATTCTTCAAGCTTTCCCTAAAAAGAATTGTTGATCGAAAAATGTGTCAGCCAAATGCCCTCTTTAGCCGCCGGGTTTTGTAGTGCTCTTAAGTTCATAGTATAATACTGTCAACCAAGTTCCTAATCTCGTTTTGTTATGATTTTGCTCATCAACCCCACTCTGAATCAGTGGTCATGAAATCTTCCTAAACTATGCACCGAAGCTTCCGACATATTTTCTGCCGTACCTTGGCATCTCAGCAACCTGTACTCCCATTCTTAGCATAGTATCACATGTGTAAAGAACCGGAAATTCAGATGCTGCTACTACACATGTCTCGATAAAAGATGTAGATTTTATGTAAACTTCTATATGTTTGGATCTTTTTTTAATTTACCTTTGGTCTCACTGAATATATTCTTTTTTGCTGACAATGCTAGAGACTACCCTCAAAATAAACTGTAGTTCTCTCGATCTTTCTCTCATACCATCTGCTTCCTCGAAGCACTTCAGCCAAGCATATTTTGTTCAAGCGGTAATCACCTGCGACACGACTAGCACTTATGACTTTTGACTTTTCCTTTCAAAACTCACCACCTACTCTACAAAACACATTACGAGTAGGCGAAGTGCCCACCACCCCTTTCGTTGACATTGAAATTTGTAAGCGAGTTGGTCCGGCAAAGGTTTGAGTTGCCACTCTTCCAACATTACAGCGGAAAGTTCAGAGATTGTTAATTTAATGGCCTTGCCAACGGCATCAACCGGAATCAAGCGCCCGCAGTAAATGAACGTCTTAGTGCTCCTTTACTAATTTATACGGTATAATTCAGGCTAAATAAATAACCAGTCCATCTCCCTCGATATCCTTGTTTGTAGTAGATGATACGGCTACACAGGACACATGTACGGGGATTCAGCAAGGCAAACGCATTTGAGTAAAGGCACTATGTCGGCGTATCGAGACGCGCAAGAGTAAGCCAAGGGACAGGGGTTCCTAATTAAACTATCATCGATGGATGTCCGTTGCGAACGCCTACCGATTTTGTCAATTTATATATAAGAAAAGAGAAAGAGAGGTTAGAGCGCATTGCACCCAAAATTTGACGATTAATTTCATCTAACAACCATATATGTATACAGTCTTGCAAGTCCTGCAAACAACTTTCATGACAAAATTTTGCTTGGTAGTTTGGCATATAGTTGGATAAACTAATTGAATTTAATAATAAGAAAGGATTTGGTTTAGAAAATTGCCCTCTCAGTTAAAGTTACTGAGGAAAATAGGCACTCATTTTGGCTAAGTCGTGAGTAAGTTTATATTAAAGAAATTTCCTATGCTATTAGGTACGACAAAACCAAACTTTTTACTACGATATATTGTTATGTGGAAGAATTCCATAATTAGTAGAAAAAGGTTGGATAATAGTCCCTTCCAGAACTGGAAAATTTTGTGCGAGTTTGCTCAAATGGAAGTGAGGCCAAGTTTAAGGGATCACATTTATTTTCAGAAACAAGTGGTCATATATGTGATCTGTTTTTTTGCATTCGCAAGCTTATAACGGATCTTAAGCGGAAAATAGTCCGTTATAAAGAGAAAAGTATTTTCTTTCATCTGCAGCCAAATTGAATCGTTTATCTTCAGGTAAATCAAAGAAATTGTCAAAAGTCTCCAATTTATTTGTGACAATACTTTGGAAAAAGTTAATATACACAGACGTTCAGTAGCTAATTATCCAAGAAAAGCATTTTTAAAGAGGTAACCTATTGTGGAAACTTTTTAAAATTAATCTTAGGAGTAACAATATGCGGGGTATCTAGCAGACATTCTGTTTGCTCGACAATGCGGTTTGCCGTTTTGAAGCATTTCCACATATGACCTACATGGCCATCTTCATAAGAACTAA